TTTCTTTTACGATTATTATACCTTACACATGTTACAATAATATTAATTACTTTTAATAATATTCAATAATTATAGTAGAGTAGATGATCGATGAATGAGGTGGAGTACTGTACAGGATGCGCGATTTCCATGATTATCACATGTAAGATAGATTATTCATTTTTTTCTGTAACATTCAATCCTCCTCTTCTTCCTTCTTCTTCTTCTTCTTCTCCTTCCTCATTATTTTTTGCTCCCTTCTTACTACATCTAAGGAGCCCGAACAAGCTATCCTGTCAAACTAGACCAAGATAGCTCGCCCTCCCAATGCTGTTATATTCTCGCAACTCGCCAATAGGTGGTAGGTAGGTAGATGGATAGGTAGCTTTCCTTTTAGGTAAAGTCAGGTGAACCCCACGCGGCACTCTGTGTCTCTCTTTCCCATCCCAGTCGGGCACTACGTCTCGCGTGTGAAAAAAAAAAAGCGTCCGCGTGTTCGACCTGTCCGTTCCATCGATCACATCCATCAATGCACTTTGCACACTCCTCCCCCTTATCTCCTCCGTCTATCTTCCCTCTGTCTCTTTCTCTCTCTCAATACACGTCCCTCTCTCTCTCTGCAACGAGCGAACGTAACGCCGTTCCGCCACCTGGCCATCGTGTATCGTATCTGCCTCCTATATGTCTCGCGCAATTATCGATAGAGTTTAATAGTTTAAATTAATAAATTATTTGGTTTATCACGCGCTCTGAGCGTCCTGGCACTTTTCCATACATCGTGTCTCGTCGTCAGGGGGAGCGACGTGGCGTCCCGCGCGACACCAACTACACACCATTGTATAATAATATATACGTCGCGATACACCGCGTATATACGTGTATACGACGATAATAGGTGGGCTGCTCCGACAAAGAAAAAAAAAAAAAAAAAAAAAAAAAAGAAAGAAATGAAAAGAAAGCGCCTTTTACACGCGCTGCTTTTTGTCCAACGTGTTGGAACCACGGATCCAGTCAAATCACGCCGCGCGACGACAAACGTATATCTCACGTGTTCACGCGACGATTCAGCCCTGAAGAGCACTACGCCTCGAGCGACAGAGCTTTGCACGGACCCACTAGCGGCCTTGGCGACGGGGACGGCGACTTCTTCGACAGGTTCAGCGGTTGCTGGCTGTCCGCGATGTCCACCTGCAGCTCCATCATGTTACTAGGGCAGCCGGATAGTACTAGCGTCGCTGCCGTGCTCGACGCAGGCCGTGGACTCGTGCTCGTACTACTCGTCGCCGCCGCGGACAGGTACCTTGGCGACGAGGCCGGCGAATTCCCGACCATGAGGTAGTCCGAGGAAGACTGCTGCTGCTGCTGGTGTTGCTGTTGTTGCTGATGGTGTTGCTGCTGTCTGGCGCCCGTCGTCGTTGTGATCACAGACGTCGCGGGCCACCTGGTTGTTGAGTAGCTGCTGCTTGTTGCGCACTGCAGCAAACCTTGAGATCCTTGTGACGAGCGCGCTGTGATCGTGGTCGTCGAGGCGCACTGTTCTGCAGGTGACGGAGAGACAGCTGGTGATCTAGGACTCGCTTCACCGCGCATTATGTAATTGTGAATGATGTCGGTGCGTTTCAACTGTTCCGCCGTCATCCTCGGGCCCTCCATCAGGCTCCTGGCTAGCGTCGAGTGCGTGCTACTCAGTAGACTCGCTGTCTGAGGGCACTGGGCTTGCGTCTGGTTCGACGGACTTCTCGCTGGCGGCGAGGTTAAATGGAGATGTAACTGTGACTGCGTGTGTTGCACGATTACCGCCGGTTCCGCCTCCGCGCTGTCCTTTTGACGGAGGGCGCGGAACTTCTTGTGAGGCTTGTACGCCTCGTCCATTAGTGAATTGGTATCGTACAGAGGCGGGGCTTGTAGAACACGTTTCAACACTGGCATATCCTCCACCTCTTTGTCCTCGGAGCGTGGACTGGAGCAAACGGAGGTCGGTGCACTGCTTGCGCTGCTGCTTGCCGGTTTGTCAGGCTTCTCGGTACCGGACTCGATACCGCTGTCGCTCGGAGAGTCGAGCTTGCGGAAACGAGGGCACTGAGGTGGCTGAGGTGTCTTGGAGAGCGACGCACGATGGAGTTCGTCGTCGCCGGAGCTCGTGCTGCCAGAGTTTGCTCGCCGACGATGCGGACAGAGGCCACCTGCTAGGGTAGCAGCTAACAGAGGAGCACTGGACGCGTGGTGTCCACTTGGTGGAGCTACGTGATGGTATTCCGTTAGAGAAGCTACTTCTCCGCTGCAGGTGCTCTCGGTGCTCGAGACACTGCCCAAGGGACTCTTCACAGCTTCGTCGAGTGTAACATCCGAAGCTGATCCCCACGACGCTGGTGGTTCCTCCTCCATGGGCCAATGTTGTTGCTGCGGCTGTTGAGCACTGATCACATGCTGCGTTTGCTGTTGCTGCTGCTGCTGCTGCTGCTGGTGTTGCTGCTGAGCCTGCATCTGTTGCTGTTGCTCGGTCATCTTGAACGCCAGCAATTTCTCCGAATGGAGGGTGTTCAATGTTCTCAGGTCCGGGATCTTCTTCAGCAATTCTCTCAGGATATCCGGATGCTGCGGATGATTCTGAGCCAAGACTGTCTGAAGAGCGTTCCGCAGTTTGTTGTGCATACGCTCGACCAGTTCAGTGTTGCGCAATCCTGGTCTATCCGCGGCGATCACTACCACTGAACAGAACAGTCCCAATTCCGCGTCGGATAGCCGCAGAGAGTTCACCCTCTCGGCGAAATCGAACATCGAGTCCATGAGGAATCTAGCGTTACTGCTGTTATGGATCGATTCACGCTTAAGCACCTGCCCGTTCAGGCAGATCATGCTGTTCGTCTGGGCGTCGAACATGCAGGCCAGCCGCACCAGCAACACCTCGAACACGCCAGCCTTGAGCAGCGTGACCTGGTCGTCCTGAGCCAGCAGGCTGAAGCCAGGAATGCGTTTCGCGAACTCCACCACTCCGCGGATCGCCGGCGAGAACCTCTTGGAGAAGTCCTGCAGCAACTCTTGCTGGCCAGTCAACGGCTGGGGGTTAGGGTTCAGGGGGCATGCCTGTAACACAAGACGCGAAACGGATCTCGGTTAGAAAGAGTGGAGAAAAAGCTTCTCTTCCGCGTTCTGTCGAGGTCGACCGGTATACAGACACGATTTCCGCGTGGAATAAATTCTTAGATGCTTCGAGGTTTATTTTGTACTGACGTAAGCGACAATTCAAATGACTCGTTGGAATAAAAAGAAGAAAAAAAAAAAGGAAAAGGTGAATGTCAAAATAACCACGGTAAGATCGCGCGATTGTCCAAGTATGCGAGGAAGAGGGAGAAGTTTTATCGTTGATCAAATTTGAAAATGTACAAAATGGAGGAGACGCAAAGGGTCTATTTGTGTTGTGTTAAATATTTGAATAGGACGATACTCACCAAGGTTGGTGGACACGCGGTATAGTTAGGCGTTTCTCGTGCTCTGACCAAGATTGGGGCGACCTTGTCCCTGGTGAAGTCGCATGTGTCAATATGGGCTTGCACCACGGTGGCCAGCAGCCGTTGCTCGTCCTCCAGCTCGGCCGCTACCGCCTTCTCTAGAGAACGGCTGTGGGAGCTTTGCTGCATGGCAGCCAGAATCCTGGCCTTCTCACGTTTGGGCACACGGCCGAATCGCACCGCTGTAACCAGAAAACACGCGAATGTCGAACGATTAGAGACGGTTTCTTCGGCACACAGTTTGGTGGTCAGCGATAGGCAGAAGGAAGGACACTCGTCGATGAATTGTTAATGCGATCAATGGATGAATCATGCAACGGACACGGTGTGTCGAGTCGCGTAAAGTGACCTTCGGTTACACCTAGTCGCGCAGAAAACCGGTACGCGTCTCTCTTTTTCTTCTGCCAAACACCCTTGTCTGCGTTTCCTTGTTAATCTGCTAAACGTCACACGGCGACGAACGAGCTCTGTTCGCGAAGAAAAGGGGGAAAAAGTGGACATTCATCAGCGCACCAGAAGATACGTTTCGGGAGACTAACACACGCTTTTCGACTACTGCGTACACACGGTCGCGGAGGGAAAAAAAATCGAGAGGGGAAAGCCGCACGACTTTCTCGCGCGGCGAGAAACGAAAGTGCCGGCTGCCTTGGCCTCGTGCTACGAATCCTTCTCCGTTAGAAAGTCACGAGCGCGGCTTTTTTGCGTGCGAGGGTCGAGAAAGGGAAACACCGATATTTCGATAACACGACGAGAAAAAAGAAGTAACACACAGTATCCTTTTTTCGTAGTAATGGACACCTACGTGCATTATGATAGTTGACAACTCCGTTCAGGATTCCCTTCAGTATGGGTAACTCGTCTCCCATGACGGTCGAAGAGAACGATCGAGGGAAAACACGCTCGATCCTTTAACAGTGTTTGCGGCGTGTAGCTTCGGAGCGAACTGCACCGCGCATCAGAACTAATCTCCCATCGGCACAATAATAACACTATCGGTCGATGTTCGCGGTGAACTTGTATGATTTCTGTTGTTTTACGTTTAAAAGAGAAGACACCTTTTCGAATAGGCTATAATAAACACGATCCGTTCGTTCGCTGACTATCGGCTGACTATCGTAACTGCCACGAGTCACTCCAACGAGGATGATGATCGTGTACGTGGCGCGGCGTGCCGCCAGACACACGGCTGTCTCTGCTTTCGCACACGGGCGGCCAGAGAGTCGAGGAAATAAGCGCGACAGTAAGACGCGTGCAGACGCGAGACAGCATCACCGCCGACTGAGTGATGTTCCGCGGGTTGCGTTCAACAGCCCCTCCACTTATTCAGCCATCAACGACTCCCACCACCGGCCACGATTGTGGCCTTTGCCGAGCCTTTGGCCTTGAACTTGGTTTCAGCGACAGCCGCACGAGGCGTACCGCCGACCTATATATACTATATAGCGAGCGAATGTACGCGGCGAGCGTAGCGGCCAGCGGAGCGCGCACACTACGCTAAGCATTGTGTACGTGAACCTGTGCGTGTGCTATTCCCTAACATTGTGTACGTGAAGCCTCTCTTTCTCTCTCTCTCTCTCTCTCTCTCTCTGTTGCTCTTTGTGCCCGTACGTGAACACGCGACAAAGAAGGAGTCTAACAAGAGCGCGACAGAGAAAGAAAGAGAAGATTCGTTGCCAGAGAGGTGAGACTCTCTCTCTTGGTGTGCGCAGATGCGAGCTTCCTTTGCCGGGGGTAACTTACCCTCGGCGACCTTGGGCAACCCCTCGGCTCGCTGGCTATTTGCCCTGTCACCAGCTGCCGTCGTACGACTCGTCTGTTCACGGAACGATCGATCTCTCTCTCCGGCCTGTGTCGACGAATGTCACATCCTCCCCATCTCTCCTCTCTCTCACTCTCTCTCTTGCGAGACGAGATTTAACTTTGCCGCGACTATCGCTCGGAATCTAATTTCTCTTAATCTGTTTACGGATCGGAGGTCTATGTTTATGTCGGCGTGGTCTCGAATTAATTCAACGGTCGAATGGGACGCGTTTAAGGCTAGCCGGTTCCGGTATTCACGAGGTCATCGGGATCACGATTCATAACGCGTGCCGTTCAAGTCACGTACCAGCTCCACCGCTAGACATGCTTCTGCGCGTGCAGACACCGGCTCGCGAGCATCATGACGGTATTCTCCACGGAGATCATTCGCGAACGTCTAACTGTACTCTTCCTTTTTGGTCATCTGTGTCGTTGGTGTTCAACAACTACCATTCTTTCTCAACATTGTGTCCCCGTTGAAAGACTCTTTCGAACAGCCGTGAATCGACGGACAATTCGATCGATCGATCCAGTGAAAAATAATAGAAGCGAAGGTTGGAGCGTAACAGCGACAGCAAGCTCCTCGCGAGTGTTCTGTCGCAAATTGCGAGGTGGCTGACTGAGTCAGGTCGGTTTGGCGGGACTGGCCGAAACGAGCATGCGCCTAAGCGCCAGGTGGCTGAGCCGCGGTAGGGGAAGTGGTGGGGATGGTGGCGCGCGGCTGGAGTAGGAGAAATGCGATCGCGAAGGGGAACGAAGTTCGCGAGGTCTCCGCATGGAGCGTAGCGCCACGCGACGGCGCGTTGTCGCTCAGAGCGGAAGGGTGGGGGAAGCCTGGACATGGCGATCGAGCGACACGAGGTGGGGGAAGGCGGGAGATGATCGCGATAGTGTACGCGGCTGAGGTAGTGGTGGGGAGATTGGAAGGAGGTGGAAGGGTCACCGGGTACGTAGCGGCGAGTAGCGGTACTCTTTCTACGGACGTGGAGTCGCATGCAAGCCGAGCAATGCCCGACTATTGACCCCGCGGCACGATCCACGCTGCTATCAGTAGAGGAGACTTGCTTCTCAAACTTTGATTCTCTTTGTTTGAACAAGCCGTTCTTAACGCTCGACAGAGTCGAACGCTTATCGTTGGTAGACGTTAATTCCCGAGGACAAAGTAAGCGACGGAGAGTAATATGAAAACGCGAATATGAAGATGAATTTTCGAAGTTTTCACGGATCGTTCGATGGAATTTTCAGGAATATCTCGCACGACTCCGATCGTCGAAGGAGATAGGGACGTTCACAGATCAGACGCGGCAGGCAGTAGCTGCATCCGTAGCGGGCACAGTCGATGCACCCGGAGGTCATTGACCCCGGCAGGTCTGCGCGACGGTCGAATCTACTCGCGAAGAGTTTCGCGGCGGGAAAGAGGTCAACGGGCGGGCTCTGGGCCCGATGTTTCGAAAAGAAAGCAAGCTCATCGCGGGGAGGGGGCCTTCGAAGGGGGTATAATAATCACGGCTGCTTTCTCAAACGGCGAACTGGCCACTTTCGCCCATTGCGACACTCTTGCTGTGTCGCGGAGAGCGACGTTACGCAAACAGTCAACGACCCGACACTCTACATTTTAGAAACTACTTTTTGGGAGAAATGTGTGTTACGCGACGATCGGTTTAGGAGCTCCAGGGGAAAAAAGCGCCTGCTATCCGATACGGTGATGCGATTTCGTTCCTCGATTAAGTCATCGTTTCGTGATTTTTACTATTACCGTGTGACGATAACGTTCGTCGTTACCGAACAAATGTTGAAGATACTTTTGTCCGGATATTTGCGAGAAAAAAGAGGGGATAGTTTCGGGGAGGAGGGTAAGCGTTGTCGCAAGGGTTGAAAGAAGAAAAAAACGAGACTCACCATCACGACTCATCCCGACAGCGATGCACTTCTTGAGACGGCAATACTGGCAGCGGTTCCTGTTGATCCGTAGGATGCTGCACTGTTGGTTCTTGGTGCAGGGTCGATACTGGATCTTCTGCTGAATGCTGCGCCGGAAGAATCCCTGCGAATCACCAACGAAACCCTCGTCAGTCTGACCGTCACTGTCCGAGGAGGACCCTGACGAGCAATTGGGCCCCGTGCGCGGGGTGGCCAGGTCACATTCGCACAAGCACCCCATTAATTCACCCGGGCCAATGAATATTGGTTCTCGCGTTCTTCTCACACGTTCTTTTTCCTCCAACTAACCGATCGCGTGCTCCTTCGGCACGCGCACTGATCTCCTTTTTCCTCTATAACCCGTTCTTGCCTTATTGTATCACGTAATGTGCGTATCAACGTAGCTAGCAAAGTGAAACGCTCGCAATGGCAACTCGTATAGAGCAAAACGACAAATATCCCACAGAGACACTCTGGCTCTCTCTCTCTCTCGCTCTCTCTCTCTCGCTCTCTCGTCTTTCTCTCTCTCCCTCTCTCTCTCTCTCTCTCTCTCTCTATCTGTATGAAACAACAGCTCTCTCTCGCGTGTGTGTCACAGTCCCGTTCCGATAATATTCACTAAATCGTCGTGTGTACGACTGTCGAAACGATATTGTACGTTGGTCGTAACCACCAAACTCACCAGCGAATCAAGCGTAACTGTTCGCCCGTACGATATCATGCGCGAGTTGGTACGCGAGTTTTCGGCGGGGGAAAAAGAAGCGACCGTTTGTATCGGAGCTTGGCTGTGGACTGGCTCTTTCTAGCACAGAGAGCATAGAGCCTCGGCACATTGCCTCTGGCTCGGCGAGGTGGGGGACACTCTGACCCAATTCCCGGACGTTCACCCGCAGTTCACCGCGTGAAAGTGAGAGTCCCCCTTGCGCGCACTCTGCCGCTCCTCGTCACTCTTTCTCTCTCTCTCTCTCTCTCTCTCTCTTGCTCTCACATACACACACACTCCCTCTACCCTCTCTCTCTCTCTCTCGCTTGCTCGCTCCCTGAATCTATCGGTCTCCGTCCCGCTTTTGTCTCTTCGTTCCCTATCCCGTTCGCACGCGTTCGCGAACCCTCGATATATCGCGCTCCTCGTCCTCGTCGGCCGCAACGCGCGACCATAGAGGCTCGCGCGCGCTTCGAACGCTCTACTAACGGATTCCTTCCCTCCCCCCCTCCGGCCCGTAGCCCCCCCGCACGAGCGCGTTCTGCAAGGAACCACCCTCTCGAACACCGTGTGTCCCGCCCTACTCTTCTCGCCTCTGCCCCAAAGCACATTCTCGATACTTCTCTTCTCGACCCTTGCTGTTGCTATTGCTCCACCAGCGGCAGACGAAATAAACGCGGGAACCCCCTTTTTTCGTGCTCACGCGATATATTCCCTCTCTCTCTCTATCTATGTACACCTATATATGCACCTATGCACGCTTCTTTTCTTTTTGGCGCTTGTTTGCTTCTGCAGCGACGACGACGACGACGACGACGACGATTCCTTTTCACAAGGCGGGGTGAATAACCCCTCGCTCTATCGACCCGTTTGTTCGTTATTTTAACTAGCATACGAACCGATTCTATCTTTCTTTCTTCACGCGTGTCCTTTCGCCGTCGAGGTTTCGATATCGAGTTAAGAGGAATTGGAATATAGAAAACGATGGTAAAATTAGAAAGAATAACGACGGACGAGAGAAGAGAGGTAGAGGATAGAGACTGTTCGGTTCGTCGAGTTTTTCACGCAGCAGCCGCTAATTGAGAATGGGTAAAGAGGTAGGTCAGGGCGGAGGAACTTCCCGGCCGCGTATCGGTCAACGACCTCACGGTTACGTAACGAACGACGCGTGGAACGCCATCGTCGTCGTCGTCGTTGTCGTCGTCGTCGTCGTCGTCGTATCTTCATAGCCACGATGTCAGAGAGTGGGCGCAGGCGCGAGCGTGTGCATGCACGTATGCGTACGGAATTGGCGACACAGTGTTGGTCGTCAAGTGACTCTCTCGTGACGTCAGACACGCGACCTCGCCTACCTCAACTTCGTGTGCACGGGCCGACAGAGAGACGAGAGAACGATGTACCGTTGCACCTCCGCGCCCGGCCTGTCAATCGGTGCACGCGTTCGATGCAAGTCAATGAACTGTCAGCGTTGCCAATGTTAAGCTCTCTTCTTCCCTGTGCGCCGCCGTGCCGATCACCGGCCACCACACACACCGCACACTCCGTTTCGAATCCTCCTCTGCTACTATACACGCCTTCGACTACCCGGGCCAATGAACCCTGCCTCCGCGTTTGTTTTCTACGAAACGCGGCTTCCCGCACTTTACGAGGTCACCAATTCGTTGTACGGAAATTGTATGGTAATTAAATGCCGAGGATTATGATACACAGTTGACCTGGTTTAGTTTCGCGTGAATTTTTCTTCGTTTTTTTTCGTTTCTTCCACGGGAGAGGGGATTTCTACGAAATTCGAGCTCGTAGATCGTTCGAACGATAAGGAGTAAAGTAGATTCTTCGGGAGCTCCGTTCTTTCTCTCTCTCTCTCTTTTTCACAGGAGAGTTCGTGAGAATTTCAACGTTCGAGGATCGTTGAATAATTAAGCACAACGAAGAGCGACAGTGTTGGGATGAATTTTCTCGGGAATTTAGACGAATTTCTTTTTTTCTCGGCAGATTTGAGATCGTCGAAAGGAGTTGAAGGTGTTTCACGTCGATGGGAATTTGGGAATTTTATGGAAATTTTTGGAGAGGCTGCCGGGTCAGTTACGGGGTTTAGGGGATTAGAAAGGGAGGACGGGAGGTGTAATCGGACGGGAGCTGAGTGCCGCGGATGCCCGGACGAGGCCAGCAACCCCTGTTGAACCCCTTGCTTGGCGGGAATCCGGCGGAGGTGGAACCGGCGTTGGGGGTGGGATTGTGGGAGAATGCGGTGCATCGATCTCTCAAACTCTGTACATTCCCCCTGACGGGTCAGGGGGCGACCACCTTTGCGTGCTGTGCCTCGACTTACGTGAGTTGGCGCACGCGCCACCATTGTGCCGCCGCCACGGAAAATGCAAACAGATCGCCCCCGTCGCGGGGATCTTTCTTGGGGATCTACGAAAAATAGATGCTCGGGAATATTTAGGTTAGATAGGGGTGTTCTCGCCTGTGGTTTTATCTTGGGGAAACATCGTTTTCACGATTGCAGGTTTCGATACCCTTTAAGAAAAGGAAGAAGGTTCAAGCTCGAGGAAATGAAATTAGAATTTTACTTTGGTCGACAGGTGGTGGGTGAGATTTGACGAGTATGGATGGAGAAGCAATTTGAGCAATTTGAGAAAGTGTATCGAGAATGGGTAATTAATTAGCTTAACTCTTTATTCTGTTCGATGTTGACAGGTGACAGAAATACGTTCTAAAGTATACTTATTACTGCTCGATAGAAAATGATTCGCGAGGAAATGATTTAACGAGTAATGCAAATGAGAAAGCTTAGTGCAAGAAATGATCACTGAAACATTTCGACAGGTGTACGTAGAGATGCATTCTAAAATACATTTCTCCCCTGCGTTCATGGCAAATGTGACTAAATTAAGCCGCAAAAGATTGGAACATTTTTAACAAACAGGCAAAGTGTTAAAAAATATTTTCCCAAATATCATTACCAGACACTAAACCCCACCGTACTACACCAAAAACCCTTCGATCTCCCCATCGAGATCCGAGAACGCGTAGCCGGACGAACTCTAAAACAAGGCCCACGATAATCTCCGAAACTTTCGCCGGAACGTTCGAGAAAGTTCCTCATCGATCTTCCCGATCCCACCTACGAAACCCCTTGCATTCCGTTCAATCCTCAAATACCGTATTCACCCTGTCGAAAAGGCGATGGAAACGGTGCGCGAGCGTTAACCCCGCGTGTCCCATGTCACGTTCACCGGTGTGTTCGCTTTTATTTTCCGCGAAAGGAGCGAGTTCGCGGCACGGCTGCTGGCTCGCGTGCATGTGCATCGGTGCACGCGTGCACACAGCCGTGGCCGCATACAGATGTAGGTAAGGAGAGTGTGGGATATACACACGACATGGTCGCGGGGCCAACGACCGGAGCGCGCGACTGCAGCTAGGTGGTGGGGGGTGTTGAGCGTTCCTCTGTCGTCGTGGAGGGGATGAAACTGGCGGCGGTGGTGGGGGAAGGTGAGTGTATCTGCTCCCACGGGCGAACGGACGGGCACAGCCGGGAGGGCGGAAGACGGGAAACGGGGGAGACGAAAGAAAGAGAAGAAAACGACGAGAGAGAGGAGGAGAGGCGTGACGAAGAAAGAGCAAAAGACGAGAAAGAGGGACGTGCAACGAGTGATACCCTCGGTTAGACCGTGCGGGTAGTGGGGGTAAAGCCAGAGAACAGGACACGAAACGGAGTAACGGTGACGTACATAATGCGCGCGCCCGTGCGGGCGCATGCGCCTCACTCGAAACGCCGCGACACTCTCCTCTCTGCTCGGGGGCATTAACCGCTCGCGCGCGCTCGCTCCGACGCGCACCTACGACCCCAAGAATTCGCAGCTCGCTCGCTCGTTCGCGCTCTGCACGCTCCCCGGACACCGATCCCTCTGATCGGCCCCGAGGAGCCGATCGTCGAGGTCAGAGACGAGAGCTGTTGATCCATAGCCAGCGCCATGGGAAATTGTTATGGAAAATTCAGGAGGAGCGTGGTAATTTTGGATTGCCGTATCTTTCCATGTTTCGGAATTCGAAGAGTGAAATGAAAATATATCTGTATATTTTGAGACAGGTGATGGGTTGAATTCCGGTTGGAAGCCATTGAGTTTTAGGAATATTCGTGAACTTGTTAGATGGGAAGTTTAAACGAGATTCGCAGGTTACCTTCATTTCCTCGATGCATATTTTCATTAGGCGCAACTGATTTGGTAATTGGCGATTAAATAGGAAGTTTAAAGTACAAGTGTATAATAATTGTGTGGGTAAAGAGAAATAGAATGGAAATTATGTTTTGAAGTGTTTGGAGAAGAGTTTGGAAGGATGGAAATCTGGCAAATTCAGCGGAAGCGCGGAAAAGAAACGGTGCCGTTGGCCGACCAGCTTTTATACTCTCGTTTGACCTCGAACAGTTCGCTGCTCTATTCTCCGGGCATCGATACCGGGGAAGTCGATCGCCGAGGTCACCACTCGAACTATTTTCC